GTTGCCCAGAGAGGTGGTAGATGCCCCATCCCTGGGAACATTCCAGGTCAGGTTGGACGGGGCTCTGAGCAACCTGATCTAGTTGAAGATGTCCCTGCCCACGGCAGGGGGGTTGGACTAGATGACCTTTAAAGGTCCCTTCCAACCCAAACCATCCTGTGATCCCACCCAGGGGCTTCTCCGCTGTCCGGCTGAGTGGCTCTGATGTGTCTTTGCCACGAACTGGTGAAGGTGCAGGTTTGTCTTACCGAGAAAATGAAAAATTCACGGGAGCAGGAGCAAGGCAGCGTTTAACGAGTATGATCTCTCTGCTACGTTTTGTCGCTGGTCCAAAAAGCAGCGCTTTTAGACAGAAATAATCAGGTACCCTGCCTAGAGCTGATAATTTCACCTCCTGGTCCCCTCAACTTCATCTTTTACTTGGCAAGGCAAAGTACAAACCCTAAACACGCAGCCGGCTCCAGCCAGCCACACTGGTTCAACCCCGGGAGCACCGTCCACTTTCCACCTCATATTCTTTCCCCAAAATGCTTCTGTGTCAAGGAGGGAACTTACCTGGGAATCTGTGATGCTGATGAGCTGCTGGAAACGTTCATCTTGCAGAATGCTCTCTGTTTCCAGTTTTTTTTCTGCTGCAAGGCGGGAAAGTTGAGTAATCATTAGCGAGGCTTGGTTGCTATTAAGAACATGGAGTTCGCTCAACTGCAAGAGTTCCTGAGGACTCGCTGCTGTTTCAATCAGTTCCCCGATCACTTTGTGCTCTGGGTTTCTTCTGTCCTCCACCTGCTCTTTGACTGAGAATCCATCTGCCCAGCTGGAAGGGCTGGAAGTATGAATTAAAGTGAAAGGTGCTTGAGGCAGAGCTCTTGCCGTCATCACCTTCCCAGCCGGCAGGCCGGGACTGCTGAAGGAGTAGAGACGAAGGCACCGAAGTGCCGCCAGCAGCAGCGTCGCACCAAGCGGGCTGCCATGGTGGAAGGGGTGGGGGGAAGGAAGGCTGTGAGTGGTCAAAGCCGCATTTCAGGAACGCTACAAAAGGAAAAGAAATCCTTTAGAGGCGGGAGAATTTCAGAGATAAAAAGGAAGAAGCAGCCAGCTTCTGCTAACGGTTGTGAGGAAAGGACTGTTTTGACCCGCAATATTGGATGTGAAGAGGCAACAAAAGCTTTCTGGCAATTGATCAGCAAAAAACCACCGCTGTGGAACAGGCTACACGCTTCCCTGCTGGGGCCAACCTGCCTCC